AGAAAGCCTGTCCTAGACAGGACGTGGAGTATGAACAAATGCCCAGAAGCTGGCCATGCAGAGTGTGCCAGGGCCAATATGGCTGAAATCAGGGGTGAGGAGTGTTATCATGGTGGGGGAGATGGGGTTCGAAATTCCTCAAATATCAGCTCTCAGGATCACCAGAACTGTATGAATCCACCACTAGGGAGTTTACCTTAGGCCCAGCCCCTACCCCCACCCCCAGCAGTGGTTGAAACAGGACTTGGCATTTCTCTGCAGGGAGCTGGACAGCCTTGTACAATCCTCACAATACTGCAAGGGCGAGAGCCACCGGCACTTTGAAGGAGGAGTGAAGCTGGGTGTGGGGGCCTTCAACCTGGTGAGTGGGAATGCCCCTCCCCCATTTTCACAGCGCCTGGCTCAAGCTGTATCCCCTTCTGTCCCTGACTCAGATGTGGTCAATGCCTACTGCCCCTGCGCCTGGCTGTGTGCCAGGCACCAGGATCCAGAGGTGATCAGGCGTGTGGCCAGCCTTCAGGGACTCACAGCTGGGGTGGGGGTGGTGTGGACACTGGAGCCAGCTCCAGAGAGTCCATCGGTCCATTTCTTCCAAAGTCAGGCCAGTAGCTTGAAATCCACCCTAGTGGAGGCTTCACAGCACCTGACCTTGGCACATACAATAAATCAGGGCTTTCTCTGCCCTGGAGAGCTGCTGGTTAAACATTTACCAGTGGCCGGGAAGGAGACAGTCCTGAAACCAGCTGATGACTTAGTGGGGCCAGAGAACTAAGTCTTCCTTCTGGAAGTTGGGGAAGGTTTCCCACAGGACGGGGCAAGCGTCTGTGCTGGCTCCTGAGGGATTCCTAGGAGTTTCCCAGCTGGGGAGGGGCTTCTAGCCAGAGGGAGCAGGAAGACTGGGAAAACTGCGCCAGATCAAGGGAGGAGGAGCTTCCCAGGGAAGATTTAGCCTCAGGGCCCTAGGTGGCCAGGGGCCTTTCCAAAGGTAGGGGGGTGGCCCTCTCTCCTCCAGGTAAAGCCTGTTAAAGAGCAAGCCTTGGGACAGTGGGGGTGTCCCCTGCCTCCTCTGGGGTACTTTCACATGCTTGACTGCCTCCTTTCTTGCAGACACTGTCCATGCTTCCTACTAGGATCCTGAGGCTGCTGGAGTTTGTGGGGTTTTCAGGAAACAAGGTAACCACCTGCCTTCTAGCACCCCGACCTGCTCAGCCCCAAAACTCGGGCTGGGCTGGACAGGGTGGGGCTGACAGACTGCAGGGCTTAGGTGCCCGTCCTGGCTCATCCCCTCTTATTGTGTGGCCCTGGACAAAGCCCAGAACTCCCTGGGCCTCGGTCTTCTCTTTGGGCGAATGGGGCTGGTGATCCCTACCTCGCCCTCCCAGGGTGCAGAGGCTCTGGGTGGGGATGGGTGTGAAGGGCAGCTCCATGCAGTGACCCAGGGTCACACATTCTCTGAGCCTGACAGTTGTCAGGGGCTGGTTCCTCTCCCCTCAGATACTGCCTCACTTCAAAACTTTGAGCAAGTCCTTCCTCCAGGGACCATTTTCTGGTGCTACCACTTGATCAAGCAGATGTCTGAGGGAAGCCCTACTGGGCATCAAACCTTGAGGAGGAACCAGAGAACTCAAGCACCCAGAGGCTTTACTGAGGGCAAGAACCTGAGTACCAGCCCCGGGTTGAAGGCAGCAGATCAGGGAGGGCTTGCTGGTGGAGGAGGCCTGGTGTGGTAGAAGGAACACTCACCTGGAAGTTAGGAGCTCTGGGCCGGTGCAGCCTCATCCCCTTTTCTCTGTGACTCTGAGCAAGTCCCTCCTTCCTCTGAGCCTCTTTTTAGTAAAACAAGGGCATTTTTTATGGACCAGATAAGTGTTTCTCAAATGTGCACCGGCCCTTCCTGATACGTGCTCCACAGACCTCTCTATTATAATTTATATATTTTCTCAAGTGACTGATAACTTTTACTGAAATTGATTTAAAGGAAACATCTCTATAGAAACCTCCATATTCTTTGGCATGATAAGAACGTAATCATAAAAATAAATTCCATGAGGGCCCAGCCATCTTTTGCAAGCCCTGCTACTGTGTGGCGGGCTGGGGCTCCGCCAGGGCTGCCTCTTTCTGAAAAAGGGGGCTCAGGGTGAGAGAGTCTGTACCCCACGAGCAAAGGACTGGGCTTTCTCCTGGGCACCACCAAAGGATAGAAAGAGAACTGAGAAGGGAAAACCTTCACTGTGACTCAGTGTTTCCTGGCGCCTGCCCATGGAGCCCTAAAATCTTAGCTGCCATCTGCTGCCCGAGCCTTGGAAAAGATTGGCTAGAGGCTGTGAAGGTCACTTTCAGTTTTTCTCCTTAAGAAAGCCTTTGGGTCATGAGTAGGATTTCAGGATGATGAAGGGAGGGCCCAGAGGTGAGGCAGTGTGGCCTGGCCAGGCGGGTTGGGGGATCTACTGTGCTAGTCTGGGCTTCATCTTTATCTCGAAGGCAGGGGAGCCACAGAGGGTTTGACGCAGGAGTGAGGCAGGTCAGATTTGTGTTTTAAAAAGAGCAAAAATGCTCTGGAGGACAGACAGAGGGGCAGAGACTGCAGGCAAGGAAACAAGGCAGGGTCTGCCCCCAGCCCCTCCCCAGCCAGGCTCTGGAGGCTTCTCCCACAGGAAGCTTTCCCACCGCCCCACCTGAGCCCATGGCTGGGATCATCTGCCTTCCTGTCTCCTGCTCCCAACAAGACCTGTGCTGCTCAGGCCCTCAGGACCCATTGCAGGGCACCCATGACTACAGGGAGGGTGGGGAAGAGGCTGTGGAGAAGGCAGGGGACACCTGAGGCCCATCAAGCTTTTGTCCTGGCCTTGGCAGGTGTGGCCCCTTGCCCCAGGAATGCACTGGGGCACTGAGGGGCAGCCCCTTGCTCAGGGGCACACAGCTGACCCGGCCTCCAGGGCTCCGGTGCTCTCCCGCCCCTGTGCTGGCAGCATTGTCCTCACAGCTGGCCAACCACCTCCCAGCCCCCTGCCCTCTCTGGGAGCCTCACTTGCCCTCCCATTCCCCTAGGACTACGGGCTGCTGCAGCTGGAGGAGGGTGCGTCGGGCCACAGCTTCCGCGCCGTGCTGTGTGTCATGCTCCTGCTGTGCTACCACACCTTCCTCACCTTCGTGCTCGGTAGGCCTCTTGCACAGGGGGCCCTGGGGCCCTGGGGTTTGGTCATCTCCAAGGGCAAAGGGGCAGGAGAGTCAGGGGCTGCAGACCCTGCCCACACCCCTGGTGCTGGAGATAGGGGTGCTGAAACCAGAAACACAGAGCCACATCAACTGTCCCGGGGACTGGCCTGCTGATGCCCACTGCCTCACAGTGTGACGGGGTTCCAGCCTCAGTTTTCTCATCTGTGAAATGCGGGTGGTTGTGCCCTCCTTGTGGAGGGTGTGAAGACTCAGTGTACAGCGTCTCATGGTTCTGGTCGCAGCCTCGGTGGGCGCGGGCTCCTGGTTATCGAGCTCTGTCAAGTGCTGGGGGCAATATCTGCACTGCCTTACTTAAACCTCACGTCACCCTAGGGACAGGGAAATTATCATCCCTATTTCACAGAGGGAAACGGGGAGACCACCGGAAGCCCCTGCTAGGTTGCTGGCAGGATGACAGAGCCAGGGGGTGGTAACACATTCTGTGTCTCCCCCCCCACCACCACCTCCAGGTACCGGGAATGTCAACATCGAGGAGGCTGAGAAGCTTTTGAAGCCCTACCTGAACCGGTACCCTAAGGTGAGCCCCACGCACTGCCTGGTACCCCCAGTGCACAAACACCCACAGACGCACACAGACCCACATGTATGTCATTGCAGGGTGCCATCTTCCTGTTCTTTTCAGGGCGGATTGAAGTCATTAAAGGCAACATTGACGCAGTGAGTGATGGGGGTCCAGGCCGGGGCTAGGCATCGCTCGGGGTCTTCCAGGCCAGCAGTAAGTCAGGCACACATGACATAGTCAGGGACAGGACAGACTGAAAGGGGATCCCCAAGAGAGAACCAGCCGGAGAACAGGGGCGGGAGAGGCCCTCCTGACAGAGCAGCCTAGGAACACAAGGGAGAAGGAGGTGTTTGTAGTGAGGGAGATAGTGGACTGCAGCATTCCCATGGAGGGAGGCGCTGGAGGGAGGCTGGGGTAGGAAAGCCCGCCTGTTCAGGGCATGGCGATTAGGCTGGAGTCTGCTATCTCCCCTCCATTACAGCTCTGACCTGCTCTTCTATTTTGTTACTAAAAACCAGAGTTCCAGGCAGGGGCTGCATTTGGGCCCAAGGTCATATAAGACTCAGGAGGCAGAACCAGGACTAGAGACCAGATCTCCTGGCTCGCCAGCCCCTGCCTGTGCCTAGCACAAGGCTGGACCACCGCGTCCTGGAGGAGGCCCAGCTGGCTGTGGTGGCGTGGTGCTGGGAGGTTCGGAGGATGCAGAGGGTAAGGTAGGGTGGGACTGGGTGGGCACCCATCAGGCTGACCAGCAGGTGCCCGCAGGCCATCCGGCGTTTCGAGGAGTGCTGTGAGGCCCAGCAGCACTGGAAGCAGTTCCACCACATGTGCTACTGGGAGCTGATGTGGTGCTTCACCTACAAGGGCCAGTGGAAGATGTCCTACTTCTACGCCGACCTGCTCAGCAAGGAGAACTGCTGGTCCAAGGTGGGCTGATGCCACGTGTTAGGGGCATTGGGTGACCAAGGCTGACCGGGTGCCTCTGGACCACGAGCCAAATCCCTGACTAAACACAGATGTCTCAGCTGGAATCTAAATATAACCATAAATTCTAATAGGACTCAGGGTTGGAAGGAACTAAAGACCACAAGAGAGACTTCTGAACCACAATGTGTCAGTTGAGATTTCTAGTCACACAGGACTGAAACCTGGCTCCCTCTGTCTGACAGAACTGTCTCTGTGGTAGAAATGTTCTACTTCTGCACTGCCCATATATGGTAGTCACCAGCCACATGTACACACTGAGCACGTGAAATGTGCCTAGTGCAATTGGGAAACTGAATGTTTTAAGTTTTATTTAATTTTAATTAATTAAATTTTAAATAGCCATGTGGGGCTTGTGGCCACCATATTGGACTGTGCAGGTCTAAAACACAAAAGGCTCATATTACTGAAAATTCTTGGCACCTCCGACTTCAGGTAGGGCTGGATCCAGAAATTCACATTATGTCATCTGGCTTGGTCTTTCCATCTGTGGCTGTGCTCTCTTCTATGACATCTTTTTTCAGGAAGGTTCTCTCCATGTGACAGGCAAGGTGGCCCTGGGCTGCTTCTACTCACATCCTCTCCTTGATTTCAACCAGAGTCCCACAATTGAGCCTCATTGGTCTGACTTAAATTACATGGCAATGCCTGGAACAGAGGGGTGGGAAGATTCCTCATGGGCTGAGAGTAGGAGAGGGGTGGTTTCACAGAAGGAAATGTACCCAGAAATAGTGGGGAGAGGGGATTAATGAGGTACCATGTAGACAAAACAAAACCAAACAGATGCCCGCCCACCGAAGATGAAATTTACCAACGTAAGTATTGAAATAACTATTAGCTTGTGCCATCATAGTAATAATAGTGCAAAATTGGAACCAAGAGTCTTAGAACCATCTAGCTCAGCAAGTGTCTAATCCATTATTTGTAAATACACAACACATGTGTCTTCATGGCTTCATTCCACATAACAGACATTGCTAATCAATCCTCTGCCATGAGCCTGGCTGTGACCTTAGATGCCTTCCCTGCAAAGCTCTAGGCAGCCATTAGAACGGACCCACTCTGGCCCCTGTTAGGAGACCTGTCATCTGCATCTGGTCCCTCCCCCTCCTCTACATGGAGGTCTCTTTTCAGTAGCCCTGACTGGGGACGACCTGAAGGAGAATTCTCTGGGTTTGGGGTAGGTGGGGCTGAGGGAGGGAGCAGGTTTCTACTGAGCTCTCACCGTGTGTCTGGCACCTGTCCTGTCCTGCACACCACACCCAGTGAGGAGCAGTTATCTGCATTGGGCACATGAGGGCCACTGAGGCTAAGAGAGGACTGTGACTTTCCCGCCGACGTGGCTGTTGGTGACAGACACTGGATTTGAGGACAGTCCTGTGTGACTCAGAGGCCTCTGCTTCTCCTTTGCTCCTAGAGTCCTCCTGAGGAGGCGGGCCTGCCCTCAGCCCACCTGCTCTCGGTGCTTCCTCAGGCCCAGCTCCATGGCCTCTGCATCCCCTCCTCATCACCTCCCACTCCCAACAAGACCAAAGCCTCAGGGAACCTTTTTTGTTTTTTTAGAGACAGGGTCTTGCTATGTTGGTCAGGCTGGTCTTGAACTCCTGGGCCCAAGCAATCTTCGCACCTCTGCCTCCTAAAGTGCTGGGATTCTGGGCCTTGGGAAACCTTTTTTGACTGAATGTGACTCTCAAAGTCTTCCTGTAGAGTCAGGTTGGGCAGCTGAGTCTAACCTCATGGGGAAGGGGAGACCTGGAGGGGACACACAGCTGCTGTGAGGAACAGAAGGCGGGCCAGGCCACTCAGCTGTCAGGAAGTCTGGCTCAGTCCCCTGCCTGCTGTGTGACTTTGGGGTGGCCAGTCCCGCTCTCTCTGCAACACTCTGCTCACAAGGACTTCCTGTGAAAAGTTGGGGTTGTAACACTCTGAGTTCTGGGGCCCCACCCATGCCTAATCTCGAGAACTTGGCCACCAGAGTCCACCAACTTCCAGTCCTGGGGCCTGGGCCTCTGGCCATTGCCATAGGCACCACAATCTCTGCGCAGCGTCCCTCTCTGCTGGGATCCTCCGAGGTCAGCCCTGTGAGGCCTTTGCGTTTCCCCCAGTGCTGACAGCCTGGAGGCTGAGATGGCCGGAAACAAGGTGGTGACAGTGGCGTGCTCAGGGCTGGGGTGGGGAAACCCCAAGGAGCTAAAGGCAGCCCTGGGCAACCCAAGACGACAGGAAGGCTTTGAGGAGAGACCTCTGCGGTGGGTCGAGGAGAGGAAGGACTTAGGGAGGCAGAGTGAAGGAAGTAAGAGGACACCCCAAGCCGAGAGGGCGGCAGGACCAAAGGCTCAGAAGCCAGCTAAGGAGGGGCTCTGTGCCCCGGGGTGAAGTTTGCACGGCAGGAGGGCAGGGGGGCCTGGATCGGGAAGACAGCTGCTCTTTTCCCCCAGCATGGCCCCCGTACATCCCTGGAGAGCTGGGGCGTCTGCAACTCCAAGTCATAGCCTCCATCCTAACCCTGCTGCTGTGGTGAGGGTGAGCTGTCTGTGGAGGGGAAGGCTCTTGCAGGAATGAGCCTGGTGGAGAAGGGACAATGGCGTCCCAGGCCGAGGAACAGCACAGGCAGAGACCTGGGGTGAGTTTAAGGAGTGTAGGGGAGGAAATGGCAGAAGATGACCCAGAAAAAGAGTTTAGGGCATGTCCTGGAGGACGTGAGTGGCTGTTTGGGCTTTAACTAGCAGTGGCGGAGCCCTGGGAGGCTTGTGGCTTAAATGGGTACTTTAGAAAGCCCACTAGCAGCTGCTTTGGGCTTTTAGCCCACCCCCACTTGCCAGGCCCTGTCCTAGGCCAGGAAATACAAAAGTGAGCAGGAAAAGACTCCCTCTCAAGGCTTACGTCCTAGCGGGAAGAGACAAGAACCACACAGATGTGCAGTATAACATGCTGTCCAGTTCCAGTAAGTCCAGTGAAGAGCAAGTGGGGCCGGGTGCAGGGAGTGAGGGGGCGGGCTCCTTTATAAGGGGAGGTTGGGGAGGCCTGTCTCAGAGGACAGCAGGATGGAGCTCAGGAGCAGGGCTTGGCAGTCACAAGGCAGGCCGTCCAGGCAGAGGGAGCTGTGCAGGGCAGGAGTGTGTTTGCTGTGTCCTGGGACAGCCCTGAGGCCGTGGCGTGGCTGGAGTGCTGCAGGTGCTGGGGAAACAGTAGATGTCTCCTGAGTGTGATGGGATATAAACAGATTCCAGAAGGGACTGACATGATCTGACTTAAAAAGGTTAGAGTGGCGTCGGTGTGCGAAACGGCCTATGGGGGACAGGAGTGGGAGGTGGGGGACAGGAGACAGTGTGCACCAGGACAGCAGAAAGACATCCGCGTAGCCTGGAACAGGGAGACGGTGTAGAGATGGTGGCAGTGCAATGAGAGCCGTAGGGCAAGGCCAGCGGGATCCAAGAGTGAGACTGGAGGTAAAGTCACTGGGACTTAGTGCCTCCACATCAGGGGCAGGGGAGAGGGAGAGGAGGGGCGACCCTGGAAGTAAAAGATGGGACCGGGGCTGGGTGCTGTGGCTCATGCCTGTAATCCCAGCACCGTGAGAGTCTGAGGAGAGTGGATAGCTTGAGGTTCAGGAGTTCGAGACCAGCCTGGCCAACATGGTGAAACCCCTTCTCTACTAAAAAACACAAAAATTAGCCTGGCGTGGTGGTGCACGCCTGTAGTCCCAGCTACTCAGGAGGCCGAGGCACAAGAATCGCTTGAACCCGGGAGGCGGAAGTTGCAGTGAGCCGAGATTGTGCCACTGCACTCCAGCCTGGGCGACAGAGCAAGACCGTCTCAAAAAAAAAAAAAAAAGATGGGACCGGGAACAGGTTTCAGGGAGGGAGACTCCTGCGCCTTGACCCACAAAGACCAGCTTTTCCTCACGGAGTGAAGGGCAGACCGAGGTCCCGGCATGGGTGGGGCTGCCAGGTGGAGGCCGATTTCCGCCTGCCTAGGCTGGACACCCGGATGTCCCGCGCCCTTTCCTCCTCCGCCCTTTCTTTCTTAGCCAGGAGGCAGGAGCTGTGGTTCGGAGCTTGGCCGCTGGATGGCAGCACAGAGCCAGGCTCCTGTCTCGGGACTTCTGGGGAAGGAGCGTGGCCTGCAGGGAGGACTCGGGGTCGGGTAAGGGATCTCCCGCAGGACTACGGTTTCCCTGTCAGGGCTGGCTGTGCATCTAGTGGGCAAGGTCCTGGGGTCGACTCCCAGTTCTGTCCCAGTAACTCTGGGGTCCCAGGAAGCAGAGGTGGGGTACAGACTCCTTTCTGGCATTGGCTTTGGTATCAAGCGAGGTGCTGGATGTAAAGTGCCTGGCACACCAGCGAGGCAGTTCTACCAGGGTGGCCCGAGCTGAGCCGGCCCCAGACCCTGCTCACGGTTCTGGCTCAGGCCTCTTTTCACAGCCCGTGCTTCATCCTCCTGTTGACAATCCACACATATCCTGCTGCCTCCTGGCTTTGCTCAGGCTCTTCCCCGTGGCTGGAAGGCCCTTTCCGGGGCCTCAGGGAATTTCCCCATGGTCCTTCAGGGGCCCACTCTGAAGCCGTTGCTTCCCGGAAGCCTCAAGTGCGCCCCTGTTCTTGTGTGTCTGCCTGTCCTGCCCATTACTAGCTGCATGGGTTCCTCTTGTCACTGCTTCAAGTGCAGAAGAGCGTGGATGCTTTGACGTGGGTTGTCCTGGATTCAGGTCTTCAAGATGCTTCAGCTTCTCACCTCCATTTCTCCCCTGGGGCTTCGAGACAGCTTGAGCCCCTGTGCTGGGCCACTTGAGGTCCACCTGCAGATTCCAGCCGGGCTGGGGCTGGAGGGAGGGCTGCTCACACCTGGCTGTTGCTCTGTCTCTAACAGGCCACCTACATCTACATGAAGGCCGCCTACCTCAGCATGTTTGGGAAGGAGGACTACAAGCCCTTTGGGGACAACGAAGTGGAATTATTTAGGTGGGTCCCACCATCGTGCGCCCACCGTGTAGGCCTCTGCTATGGGCAGACCACCAGGCCACCCTGAACTGTGGGCATTGGGGAGGGGGGCAGCTCCCTGTCCCCACCCCAGGACCGCCCCACCTGCGTGTCCTCCCATCACCACCCCTGGCTGCTGCTGCTGCTGGTTGGAGCCATCCGAATTTCTTCAGAACCTTCTTTCACAAAAGTGGTTTCGTCAACATCATCTCCCTCTGAACCTCTTTCATCTGGGCAGTAGGACAGATGTGGCCACCAAGGTCCAGGGAGGGAAGGTCCTTCACTCTGCTGAGTTAACCTGAGACACTCAGAGAAGCACAGCCAAGAGCTGAGAGTCGGAATCGAACAAACAGGAGTAAACCCAGCCTCTGCTCATTCTTAGCTGTGTCACCTTGGACAACTTCAGCATCTGCAAAATGGGAATAACAACCTCCACCTCGCAGCACTGTTTTGCAAATCAACTAGATAATAAATGTAAAGAGCCTGGCAGAGAACTGGGAGCCTAGAAGCTGCCCACTAAGTGCTGGCTGTTTTCATTCTTACCTGTATCACCGTATTTGCTTCCTGTGAAGCATCTTTAGGGCAGAGCTCAGCCTTGGCAGGTGAAGGATGGAGCTTAGCACCTTCCACCAGTCGTGGTGAGGTTGAGCCCAATTTGCAGACCTGGAAATGGGTATAATATGAGCCTCCTATGCTACTGGTGTCACAGTAATAGGGCATTTATCACTTCCAGAGTGTCTGCTGCTACAGCAGACTCCATGTCCCCCTCTCAGATGACTCTTCCAGAGAGCCCAGGAGGGCAGATATCATTACCTCCATTTTAGAGGTGAGGAAATTGAGGCTCCGAGAGTTTCTACAGTGAATAAGCAACAGTTTGTGGATGTGGGAACCTCACACCCACATCCAGCTGTTTCCTGAGCCTAAATGGCTCCGGCCTGAGGTTACAGCCACACCCAGTGACTGTGGCAGAAACAGGAGGAGGGTGGGATGGAGCTGGGTGGGTGAGGCCCCAGATGTGGAGGTGTGCCTGGCTGCATACCACATTTTTCTCTGCCCTTGGAAACAGCTGAGAAGGCCAGAACTTGAGAGGCAAGAGTTAATTAAGGGTTTGAGCTGTTTAGTCTTGGGTAGGTCCCACCCTTTCTCTGGGTGTTGGTCTCTCCTGTGATATTGGGATTAGACTTCTCTTGGGTCTTCCCCGGAAATGGTTCCTGGGAGTGGAGGAGATAACTAGGAGGCAGGGCCCGTACAGGGATGTTTGGCACACTCTCACCTCTGCCAGCTGGTGGGGAGGAGCCCCTTGTCCAGCCATAGGAAGTGGCCAGGTCTTGGAGCAGGGTCTCTAAAATAAGACCATAGCTGCAGGCTGTTTCAGACCTAGAAGGCTCTTTGGAGTCCAACACTGTCATCATACAGATGGGGAAACTGAGGCCCAGAGAGGGGCCAAGCGTGGCTGGGTAGGCTGGAGACCCTCCGCCCTTTCTGCTCTTTCTCATCCTCTCCCACCCTCCCCATCTCTTTCGCAGAGCTGTGCCAGGTCTGAAGCTCAAAATTGCTGGGAAATCTCTACCCACAGAGAAGTTTGCCATCAGGAAGTCCCGGCGCTACCTCTCCTCCAACCCCATCCCGCTGCCAGTGCCTGCTCTGGTGGGTAGGAGGTCTGGACTGGCGCTGACCTCCGGGTATAGGATTGTGGGGATTCGTTGAGAGCCACAGCCAGGGGGAAGTGGTGAGGAGAAAGACATTCATGCCTCAGGGGCCTGGGGAGGGTTTCACAATTCACCTGGGACCTAGCAGGAGGTGCTCAGATGAGTCTGGCCCAGCCCCTGCCCCTTAGAAAGTGATGGTCCACTGGGGCTGGGGGTGGAGAGACAGGCAGGCAGGCAGGCTGCAGATATCGAGAGGCAGAGAGGGCCGCCCTCCTAGACAGACAGCCCCATGTCCCTGCGCCCCGGGCAGAGCATCCCCCGGCTGCCTGTGTTCCCAGCCTGTCTGCTCCAGTCTTGTCACAATGATTATAATTGTTTTCACCATCCCCCGTCACTCAACCAACTTTTTCACTTTATATGCAACTCTAAACTCACATAATAGCCTACATTGTTACCAAGCACTTGCTCTATTCAAGGCTGCCCACACCCATTGCCTATTGCCTCATTTGAGCCTCACATCACCCCTCTGAGTAGGCGCTGCTGGTATCTCCATTTTATAGATGGGGGTAACAAGGCCTGATAAATCAGTAGGAAGATCAAATAACTTGCCCAGGTCACACAGCTGGTGAGCTGGAGTCAGAATTTGAACTCAGCGGTCTGGGCCCACAGCCCATGTTCTGAGCCATGGTTGTGATGCTAATTCTATGCATGATTTGAGCAGGTGTCAGATAAAGTTCCAGCTTGGTAAGAGTCCTTGTTATTCAAGTAGTAAGGGAGCTGGAAAGGTAGAAGGAAGCCTGCTTGAGAGACCTTTTTCTGGTCCTGGCTGTACTGTTCATTAACTGAGTAGCTTTAGGTCTGTTCCCTCTTCTCCTTATGTAAAATTATTATAACAATAGATTCCTTTCCCATTTCTTTCTTTTTTTGTTTTTGAAACTGAGTCGCACTCTGTCACCCAGGCTTGAGTGCAGTGGCATGATCTTGGCTTACAGCAACCTCTGCCTCCTGGGTTAAGCAATTCTCCTGCCTCAGCCTCCTGAGTAGTAGCTGGGATTACAGGCACCAGCCACCACAACCAGCTAATTTTTGTATTTTTTTTTTTTTAGTAGAGATAGGGTTTCTTCATGTTGGTCAGGCTGGTCTCAAACTCCCGACCTCAGGAGATCCACCCACATTGGCCTCCCAAAGTGCTGGGATCACAGGCATGAGCCACCACGCCGGCCTCCTTTCCCATTTCACAGAGCAGTTATGAGCATCAACGAAGAAAATGTGTTAAACACTGTATAAATTGAAAAGGTTAATCTTTATAGTTTGTTTTAGCACTTACAACCTGAGCATTTCTATAGTTTAAAAATATTTTGTAGTTGGCTGGGTGTAGTGACTCACACCTGTAATCCCAGCACTTTGGGAGGCCGAGGCAGGTGGATCACGAGGTCAGGAGTTCAAGACCAGCCTGGCCAAGATGGTGAAACCCCGTCTCTACTAAAACTACAAAAATTAGCCTGGTGTGGTGGCAGGTGCCTGTGATCCCAGCTGCTTGGGAGGCTGAGAATCCCTTCAACCCGGGTGGCGAAGATTGCAGTGAGCCAAGATCGTGCCACTGTACTCCAGCCAGGGCAACAGAGTGAGACTCCGTCCCCCCCCCCAAAAAAAAATTTTTGTAGTTTAAAATATACAGTAAAGCTATTACTATCAAATAGAGCAGGAGGATATTGTAGGAAGGGCAAGAAAAGCAACTATACCAAAAACTTAGGTGAGAATTTCCCAAACTGTAATCTGCAAAATACTGTTTATGCATTAAATGATTTCTGCGATTAAATACATTTGGGAAAGACTGGCCTAAACACAGTTTATATACTGTAGACTTTCTTGGAGTCTTTATATATTAATCTAAAAAGAAGCCTAAAGATACGGTTATTCTCTAATGTATTTGACCACATAATCATTTTTAATTTGTATTTATTTTGGGAGCAGGGGAGAATCCTTTTTTAAAATGAAACATTTGCTGGCCGGGTATGGTGGCTCATGCCTGTAATCCCAGAACTTTGGGAGGCTAAGGTAGGTGGATCACTTGAGACCAGGTGTTCAAGACCAGCCTGGCCAACATGGCAAAACTCCATCTTTACAAAAAATTCAAAAATGAGTGGGGCATGGTGTCATGCATCTGTAAACTCAGCTCCTTGAGAGGCTGAGGTAGGAGGATTGCTTGAGCCCAGGAGGTCAAGGCTGCAGTGACCTGTGACAGTGCCACTGTGCTCCAGCCTGGGTGACAAAGTGAGACCCTGTCTCTAAAATGAAATAAAATGAAATGAAACATTTGCCATCTTGGGACCACAGAACAATTTGATAAATACTGGTCTAAACTGAAATTCCCTTCCTAGAACAAGAACCACAACAATAATGTTTTTCTAGAACTTTCTGACTACAAAGTGTTTTCACATCCATTACCTGGTTTAATAGTTTAAGAAATGCTAAATACAGCTACTATGAATGAAAGTTTAATTTAGTTTTCTTCTTGTTTTATTTATTTTTAAATCTTTATTTTAGAGGTGAGGTCTCACTCTGTCATCCAGGCTGGAGTGCAGTGGTACTATCATAGCTCACCGCAGCCTCAAACTCCTGGGCTCAAAGGATCTTCTCATTTCAGCCTCCTGATTACAGGGTGCACCACCATGCTCAGCTACTATTTTTTTTTTTTTTTTTTTTGTAGAGATGGTGTCTCACTGTGTTGCCCAAGCTGGTGTTGAACTCCTGGGCTTAAGAGATCCTCTCAATTCAGCCTCCCAAACTGCTGGGATTGCAGGCATGAGCCACTGCGTTCAGCCTAATTTAGTATTCTGAGCTTCCTGGCAGTCGAGGCAAAAGCAAACAAACAAAAAGGAACCAGTAGCCTGACAAGGACGAGGTGAAAAGAAAAGGATTTTTTTTTTCTTCAAGGCAAGTCTCACTCTTGTCACCCAGAGTGGAAAGCAGTGGGGTGATCATAGCTCACTGCATCCTAGATTTCTTGGGCTCCAGCGATCCTCCCACCTCAGCCTCCCAAAGAACTGGGACCCCAGACTTGCACCACAATGCCTGGCTAATTTTTTTTTTTTTTTTTCGGTAGAGACAGGGTTTCACCATGTTGCCCAGACTTGTCTCAAACTCCTAAGCTCAAGTGATCATGATTCACCTGCCTCAGCCTCACAAAGTGCTGGGGTTACAGGCTTGAGCCACCATGCCTGGCCCCAAGATTTTGTGAGGTTTTTTGGGGGGGATGGAGTCTCTTTTTGTCACCCAGGCCGGAGTGCAGTGGCGCCATCTGGGCTCACGGCAACCTTTGCCTGCTGGATTCAAGCGATTCTCCTGTCTCAGCCTCCTGAGTAACTGGCATTACAGGTGTGTGCCACCACTCCTAGCTAATTTTTGTATTTTTATTTTATTTATTTATTTATTTATTTTGAGATGGAGTTTTGCTCTTCTTGCCCTGGCTGGAGTGCAATGGCGCAATCTGGGCTCATCACAAACTCCACCTGCCAGGTTCAAGCGATCCTCCTCCCTCAGCCTCCTGAGTAGCTGGGATTACACGCATGTGCCACCATGCTGGCTAATTTTGTATTTTTAGTAGAGATGGGGTTTCTCCATTTTGGTCAGGCTGGTCTTGAACTCCTGACCTCAAGTGATCCACCTGTCTTGGCCTCCCAAATAATTTTTGTATTTTTGGTAGAGATGGGGTTTCATCATGTTGGCCAGGCTGGTCTCGAACTCCTGACTTCAGGTGATCTGCTCACCTTAGCCTCCCAAAGTGCTGGGATTACAGGTGTGAGCCACTGCGCCTGGCCCCCTACATTTTTTTTAATTAAAAAAAAAAGAATCTAAGAAAGAAAAAGGAATCAGATGTGTTTTAAGAGTCTCATGATGATAACTTAGTTCTAAAGGAAATGGAATGTGAGCGTCATTATTTAGCCCATTGCATTGGGAGAATAAGAGTAAGAGAAGGTGACACATCCTCAAATTCTGTTATCCTGAAGTGCATGTGTGGAGTATGGCCTAGTCCTCAAAGGACAGAAAGAGTTTGGCCCCAGAGAGTTTGGGAGAGAGGACATAATAGCACTCAGGGAGGGCATGAGCAGAAAAGTAGCTGGAAAACTCCAGCAGTTATGAGCAGCACAGTGTGGACATTGGTCCATCTTACACCCTCACTGGGGTAAGGTGAGATCTCAGTAATAAATCAACAATAAGGCCCCCATAAGCCCACCTGGCCCACAGCTTCACAGGCTGACTGAGACCTGTCATGGAAGATTAGAGTTAGAAGGCCTTTAGTAGACCTCTGATCTGAACTGTCCATTTTGTAGATGGGAAAACTGAGGCCCCATTAGGGAAGAAACCTAAGACTGACTTGCCCTCCTGCCTTCAGGAAATGATGTACATCTGGAACGGCTACGCTGTGATTGGGAAGCAGCCGAAACTCACGGATGGGATACTTGAGATTATCACCAAGGCTGAAGAGATGCTGGACAAAGGTCCAGGTAACTTCCCAAAGGCCCTTGAGGCTCCCAGGCTAGGTCAGGTCTTTACAGCTGAAGGTTCCCTCTGCCAAAAATCTCCTTCCTCCT